ACAATTTCGAGAATTTCGCCTTGAAATTGATGAATGTCGACGTGGAACACGATCGCAAATCGTTGAGATCGCCCTGTCCGAGACGGGGGGCCCCGCCGACGAACAGTAGGCCAACGGACGATGAGTCAATGATAGGCCACACACAATTAATGTTGGCATTGATCCAACTCTCTACTGCCAGACGCAGCGAGACTGTATTGAGCGTAGAAAGACGCAGACCGCCAGCCGGCTAGAAACGCAGAGCCCGCCAATCGCCATAGGACCACCTGCGACTTTCGTCGTCATGGCCCTTCACTGACAACATCGCGACCACCCAGTGGTTTCTCGTGACGTTCGAAACATTGTTTGTTGTTTGTTTACGTTTTGTGTTGCGAATTTTGTTGTGAGATCACATCGTTGACCATAAATCCAATATCTGCCGAATGGATAAAGCTGAACAGAAGAATGTTAACGATGATGGAGACATTGATTCGTCGTTGAAGTCAAATGGAGATTCTTCTTTGTCGGTGTCAAAGCGTAAAACTTCGATTACCACAAGTGATGAAATCGTAAAGGATCTCCTCGATGAAGTCAGGCAATCGGAAAAGGTTCATAAGTATTCTTTATTTCGGCTGTGGTTCGAACAACATGCAAAACTTCTTAGAAATTTCTGCAGAATAGATTTAGGCCACGTAACTCGTTCATTGAGCATTATCCGGCTTCGAAATGTCATTTTTCCAAACCACCACTTTTCTTAATCAGTTACACGCTTCGAAACTAGGAAGAACCGTAGGGATATCAACTATTGAGCGGGCGAAATGCGCCCGCAGGTTCGTCTTTGAATCCATAATTTCCTTTCTTGCTGATCACTTAGAATTAAATTTTGACGCCGGACGAACTTACTCTTCTGTCCATTCCATTATCCCTGACCTAGGAGAAAACCTCCACTTACTGCCTTTTTCGAATTTCGAAAATTTTCATCGACAGGTTCCTCTGAGGTAGATATAGCCGAAATTTCGGCTTGGCGTCTGCTCCACAGCACCGGCACTTCATTCTGGCGCAGGCGGATTTGGTGATTTCCTTATGTTTTTTGTCTCAAGCGGATGAGATGTGTATGCTCAGAAGCTCAACTTACCTCAGAAAGCAATTTTCGGCAAAACCTACCTTCGCGGTAAAGATGTGCTTAATAAGTCCACATGGTAAAGTTCGCAATTGTGGTTATGGGAATCTGAAATGACTATGGAGAGCAATTCTTCTGATCGAGAATTGTTCTATGGCATTTGAACTATTGTAAGTGATCAGCAAGTGAAGAAGTTACGAGTAATTTTCTGCAGCTTTTCAGCCAATCTTGTAAACGGTTTTAAGAGGAGACCACTGCCCCACTACTGGGATAGCAGCTTTCTTTCCGATTCATCGGGAACTTAACTTGTAATTTTATTTTTCAGAAAATTTTAATTGAAATGAGCCGACTTTGCCACTTTCGAACCTGCCATTTTAGTTTTTTCGCTTTATTTTCAAGTAGATCTTCCGAGTGGTTACTCAGTTGAGACGTGCGATTAGCTCAGTTCGTGTCTCAAGTGGGATGGGTGCGTCATCGCACGTTGTGACCCCAATGGGTCGTATTTCAAAGTGCACAGTCAATGTAGATACTTCAGCGTTCCATTTCCCCCTCAGTGAAGGATCTGTTAAGGATTCGGGGACTCCTGGTGCGAAAACTTGGTTGCCATAAGGCCGCATCCATACTTGGCGACTTGGGAGATCCGGCGATCTGAGAAACTCGGCGATCCGGCGTTTTGAGAGACTGGCGATTTGGCGATTCAAGAGACGTGGGCGTTTCGAGCAGTTGCACGCCAAGGAGGGGGTGGGTATCGATCGGCGCCGGTCGCCAGCGATTGCGAAGATTCGGCCATCTGGCGCCGGTCGATACCCATACTTTAAGGCCCTGTCGCCGGAAACGCCGTGTCGCCCGAATCGCCGGATAGCTCAGTCTCCCAGAAGGTTACATGTACTGTCCTCGTCGCGCAATCTCTCAAATCGCTGGGCGCACAACCTCACAAATCGCCGAGTCTCCCGAGTGTCAAAGTACGTACCTGAAGGAGATGAGGGTTTTTGCTCAGCGCTCCAGGGTGTTGAACCTGTTCCTAAAGGCGCTAACGTAGTGGAGGGTTCCTGTGTCTCTTCCCTTAACCAAGGCTTGGGCTGAGAGTGTGGATGGCTAGAGTCGCCGAGGGATAGTCTCGTAGAGGAGGCGTAGCCTTCACTAAGCTTATGCCTGAGCCTTTTTGTGGACGAGACACAGAGGTACAGTCAAGTGCCTCTCCCTAATTACGTTAGCGCTCTTTCAGGAGCACTTCTCGCTTATGCTATTGCATAGCTTCACGGGAGGCGTTAGCACCTATTGACGGCAAAATGCCCCACCAATACGAACTGGTCCTCAAATGAGATCTTATCTACAATAACTACAACAATCTCCGCCTTGCACAGGAGTCCATTAACTTCTTCCGGCCCTTCTTTGAGCTTCGGTGACATTAAGCCTCGGTTGATTTGCTCCTTGTGGCACTTCTGGGCAGCCATTAAAAAGCTCCCAGTTTGGGCAGCTAGTGGTTCAGTTGTTAACTGTTGTGCGAAAATATTCTCTGTTTTATACTGCTTGATTTAGCCGTTTTCTGTGGAGGATTTGGCTGCTGCAAAAAGATCCAAGAAGAAATCCAAGGAACATAAGCACAAGAAATCCAAGAAGAAAAAGAAGCATCGTTCAAAACGCCATCGAAGTGGTTCACGTTCTCGTTCGTCTAGAAAGAAACATAAGAAAAGGTTGGTGATTTGACGCTTACGGATTTCTGTATCGGGGGGGGGGGGCAGATCCTCTACGCCTACGCCCTTCCATCTTCAGGGCTTAGCAGAGCAAAGACCACCAGAATAGCGGCGTGGTCTTGCAGTCACGGCAGATCGTTCTTAGGGGTTTTCCAACAGGGGGTCATAATTGGTCTGAGGAAAATTCTTTTTGATAGTTGATTTTCTTGTTGCGGGGACGTTTTGAAGCGGAGGTCGTCTTTGCTCGATGTTGGGAGAGGCGGTCGTATTACTCTTTTGACCCTCTGAAATAAGTTGCTGACTTTTCGTGGTTTTTCCTGTTTCATGTACTCCCCCCCCCCCCTTCGACAGCAAAATTCTAGATTTTTGGGTAAAAGTAGGAAAATCTTCGGAAAGTCGGGAAATTCCTGAAAAAATGGTAGGGAGTTAGGGAAAATCTAAGAGGTAGTAGAGTGATTAGTCGTTTCTTCCGACAGCTTGATGAGGAGTGAACCTGGGGGGGGGGTCGTACCATCCCCCTAAAAAAGTGCGGGGGCCGGGGTGTTGTAGGGACTCGACCGAAATTCCCCAATGATGTGCTCTGCTTGAGCGACATAGTCGCAAGGCGACTTGCCTCCATTCCCCCCACCCCCTTTGACTAAAGCCTTTGTTTTCAATGTGATTTTTGTATTTGCTTCAGATCCAGAACACGATCACGATCCAAGAGCCGATCGAGATCGAGAGATCGATCGGCATCCGAGGAACGGTCGGGGGCAAGCCTAAGGAGTGAAAGTCAATCTCGAGTCTCTATCGCGAAATCCAAGTCACCAAATGAGACGGTCGCCGTGGAAAAGACCGAACCCGAACCTACCCCCGCTTCTCCGAAAAGTCCACTTCCTGATCGGAGTTCTCTTCATGAGGTAAGCATTCTCATTTATACACTTTGATTTGTTTCTATGCTCACTCTGCCATTGTGATATGTTGAGTCCAAAGGGACATCCGATCTGTGTCTCGCTCGCCAACAAGCATTCCTAATTAGTTGACTCGACATGACTTTTTGGTGCCTAATCAATGAAGTCAAGACTTGAAGAACTTGTTCTCCTATTCCAAATTTTGAGTGTCATTCTCGGATCACTCTCACCATACAGCGGTTTCAAGTTTGGAATGCCATGTATTCGTTCAGGCTGCGTTCATACTTTTCGACAGCTTTCAGTGGCAGCCACTAGTGTTTCGAGCGTACGACAGCCGGGTAGGGAAGTGTAGGTACCGATCTAGCGATTGCCAGCGTCCACCACAGTTTTTGCGGACATTTAGTATTTGAGTAGAACTGCCCGTGAAAATGCTGGTGCATGCCGGCACTTGCTAAATCGATGCCTATACTTCCATAGTCCCTCGAGACGCTGGTGTACTGACGCAAAGTATGGACGCAACCTCCTGGTCCTCAAAATTTGAAGTGGAGCAAGGGGTTTCGTTGACCGTTTAATCAAGAAGGGTTTACATCTAGTAGCCGACTTGGAGAACGTGAAAAGGGAGCCTTTTGTTATGATAAGATCCCCTCTGCCCAGTGATCGTTTAGTTTTAGCATCAGGGCATGTCGCACGTTGGGGATCCACTACAAGGTGGTCGTGAAGGGGACGGTAGAGAGCTGTTCGGTGACTGTGGAGGGGTCGCATTTGCTTGTAAGATAAATATTCCGCTCGTTGACTTCTCGATTGTACCAGCCTGAAGTGCACTCTATGACCCCCCTCCGTTTGACGACAGTCTTTTTTTTTTGGAAAACTGAGCTGACTTTTGAAAAAATCTCGAGCGGGTCGTATTTCGCAAAATTCCCCCAAGGGCGGGCCATGCCCTGCTGGCCTCGCCGGTACTCTCGAGCTCTAGTTCGCCGCTGGATATGAACGCCATATGAGTTTTGAGCAGCGAAAGAGTTGCCCGTCAAAATTGTGAAGTTGGTCTAAATTTCATCACTATTTACTCTGTATTGCCTCACTTTTTCGGATTCTGATCGAAATTTTGTCCGGGGTAGGGCTTGCTGGAATTTTGTCCATGAGCCGGCACCGAAATTCCTAGTGAGCAGAAAACTTGTCAAAGGAGTAGGACGCCCCCATCGAACACGAATAATACATCCTTTTCGCTGTGAACCACTTGGTACTTGCCCTGTGGGCGCCGCCAAAACCGGCATCCCGCATCGCGGATGTCAGGCGTTTCTGAACTGAGCGCAAGGAATATTTGTGTTTTCAGAGGATCAGAACACTTCCAGGAGCACAGTATGGGCCAGATTTACCACTAGAGAAAATTTTCGACCGAAATGTGGCTTCTACTTCGAACGTGAGGCAGTAAAGAGTAAATAATGTCACAAGGCCGAGATTGTGCCTCGATTTGCAATTTCATCAGTTTTTAGATTTCCGACGAGGACGACTTACCAGTTGGAGCAGATTTCCGCACAGTAATGAAGGAGGCTAAGCTCAAAATAAATATCTCAAGCAAAATAGGCACGATACTCGATTTATGTGAGTTTTCTAGAGTATGAGCCATAGACACTGGAAAGCGAATAGCCGTTTTCCACCGGCACTAGTCCGTTTTTGTTCGGTTGTTCCCTCACAAGGTTTTTTTTGTTGTTTTTTTGCGATTTCTGAGATTCCCTTGAAAACAGAGTTACTGAATTTTATGGGAAGCACCGCCCATCAGAAGTATCCCGCCCATTTCCGATGTGTTCCCATACATGGGCAACCTCTTGCTAACCATAATTCTTTCCCTCTATCCATGGGTTGCTTTGAAACCGAATGGTGAATTGTTTATCACGCAAGCTCCCTTTTGGCGCATCCTCCCGCTGTGGGCTGGGCTTGACATGCGATGTGTGTTCTCTGCATCTTAGACCATGTTCTACGTATCCAACCTCTGACCCATCCTCTCCAAGTTGCTCTTCACGTTGAACCGAGTTTCCAGACCGACAACAAACAAACAAACATAGCAAATTATGTGTATTTGGAATAAACACTGGGAAGCGAATGGCCGTTTTCCACTCAAATTAGTCCGCTTCTGTTTTGGTTTCAGTCTTCACGTCTGGAATGTTTCAGCTGCCATTCCTGTCGCTCCTCCGTTAGCCAAACCGCGGCCAGCAAATGCTTTCCCCTTATCGAAACCTGTAAAGAAGGATGACGATGATGACTTTACTCCGGTCGAAAAACGAGAATCTGTGGTTTTGAATAAGGTTTGTTCTCATTTTCTATCTGATGGTCTGCAAAGGAGCTCACATTGTGGTCTACTTTTCAATATAAGTAGTTCACGTATTTGGCAAGGGAGGGGCGTTTCGCACTTCCACTGCTTCGTTCTGTCGTGTCGATCTATCCAGTAGAGATTTTTGAAACCTTGTGAAGACATGATGTCAGGTGAGCGACAACTTCTCACCTCTAGCAAAAAAATGCCTTTCAACTCTTGTAAAGCAACGAGAGCGGTCAGGAGAAGCAGCGAAAGTGCAAAATGCCCCTCCGTGGCGCGTAAGTGCGTCAGTTCTATGTGAACGTTCATAATGTGCTTTCGATATTTGCAGGTAATTGCTGAAAAAGGTCGAGGTGATTTCATACCACGGAATTTGAAAGTGAAATCTACCACAAACGATACTTCTGCAAACCAAAATCAACTGAAGAGTGATGGAAATGCTTCGGATGTGGAGAAGAAACCAAATCGCTCTATTAAGGATGAAGAGTTCGTCTTTTCTGTGTTTTTGACAAAGTTGATTCCTCGTTAGTGACCGAATCTTGCTCTAAAGTTTTCTTTTTAAGCATGATGGACATATCTCCTGATGAAGACGAGAAAGAGTCCTCTTTTGGCCCAAGTGCTCCCGCTCCACTATCAGCTCCTCGCTCGCCTAAAGCGGCACCAGCTCACTATAAAAGTCCTGTTCCTGAGCCTATCAGTGATGGAGAACTGGAAAAGGAAATAGTGGACGAGGTGATGGCGGCTGCTCAGCCAAAGGTTTGTCCCCTACCAGCTCTTATCCGTCTCGCTTAAGAATTATAGCAACTTTATGGCTTCGGGAAATCGCTTTTTCTTTTCAGTTTAACGCCAAGCTAGCAAGGCTTACAAAGGTCGTTGAAGGCTCATCGGCAGTGATATCCAAAAGTGGTACGCTACAGTTACATATTTGTTTGGTGCCTGCCTTGTTATGGACTTTTCTGTTCAGGACTTCATAAAATATAGCAATTCATAATCATTATTCTGCATTCATCGCGCACAGAACGCGATGTTATGGCATCTTATTGGGACGCGCCTTTGTGTGCCTTCCACCAAACAACGCCTAGACTCAGAGCGCAGACGACCAGAGTCGCGTAGCAGAGAGAACAAACCGCAAGTGCAAACCTCGGTTGGGGAAAGAAGACAAAGGTTGCTGCCGGATTAGTGAACAGCATTAGTGGGAGCATCCCATTAAGGGCGGGGGGAGGGACCGTACGTAGTCGCTGTGGAGAGAGACCTTATTTGCTTGATGGGTGTCATATCTGGCCACTGGTGGAAATTTCTCTTGACCGAAATAAAGTTTCACCTAGTTGTGACTTTTTCAGGTTTTTTTTTCATTTTATCGTTCCATGTACGCTACATGCCACCTCTCGCCCATCCCTTCCGCCCCCTCCCCACCCCGCTGACGGCAGTCTTTTAGAAATGGGAACAGGAAGAAATTCGGGAAGCTAAGAGGGGAGATTGCAGTGGTAGGTAGGCATGTAGGATGGGACGGAGGGGTGTCGTTTCGGAAGGCAGGGTTATGTGTGCACACAAATATATGCGTACATATATATATGTACT